AAAAAAAGGTTTGAGATTGTTTTGATGAGTTGGTTGCCATGATCATCTTCATCAATCAAGCTTTGATCTAGGAAAAGATCTGCCAGGTCAGAGAACACCAGAGGCCTTGTAGTCTCCAATACCTCAATCTGTACCTTCCTGAGAACATCATGGGACATCTCCATTGATTTGTTGTCATGAGCTAATGTTCGCCTGAAAAGAAACAACACAAATTAAATAAGACTCCACTATACTTGTGAGGTGGTTTCCTCCGTGTTCCTTTTTCAGTGAATGGAACACCTGCAATGGGTCATTCCATGTCAGACCAACGCACTTTTTTACCTCATGTCTTTCGATTTTGATAAAAATTTATGTGCTTGTAGGTCCTAATGAGCAATGAATACACACCAATTTTTAGCCCGATCCGACCTATTATGTGATCAGGGCAGAAGCCACAAAAAAATGGAATTTTTAGAGTAAAATACCACCCTTTTGGTATAAATATGTCAAAACTATGGCAATTTTCATCGAATATATGTGAATTTGGTATTCAAATAATGAGGATTGCATGCTCAAAGCACTTCTTTTGTCAAAATTAAATTTTGTGAAAAGTAGGTCACATGACCTTAAATATGCTATCGTGACCTTAGACCCATTTTTTGTAATAATGTATCATTCCGAAAATCAACGAAATAAAAATAACTTGCTAGAACATGTCTTCCTCTATCAAATCTACTAAAAATCAGTTGGGGTCTTCAAAATTTACAACTTTATGACTTTTTTTGTTCCGTTGGTAGGTTACAAATGAGTCAATTTATAGACTTTACATAAGAAATACACCAACACAACTTACTATTCTGTTTCTAAAGTTTCTAAAATATATCTTGGTTTGTGAATTTCTCATTCTGAGGGCTGATGAGGTCTAACCAGACTCATAGTGTGAATTATCAGCAGTGGCGCACCCAGGATTTGGCTTTTGGTGTGTATGTGTGGGGGGGGGGGGTCATAAATCGTTTTTTGTTCAAATTTCTGTAAAAGATTGGACCAACAAAACTAGCCTAAAATCAAACAAACAAATTGACAATGTTGGGGGTGGGTTCAAGCTCCCCCCCTCCTGGGTGCCACTGATAATTAGTTATCCCACGAGCGCGCTTGGAATATGAAATAATGCAATGCTGCCGTGACCCATATGCCACTCGATGCACTACATAATTCCGTGTTCCACGAGCGCAAGTTGGATTTATAACCAATTTATCTTCAAGCAAACTTGATATCAAATGCGTACACGCGGTGAAGATGTACGTGCATACATGTAGTGTATTGGTCCGTTCAGCAGGAAATAACACAGCATATATACACGTACATTTTTAATATCTGGGGTACAATATAGCTGTGCAATATTATATAAAATCACACAGTTGTTGCTATAGATGGACTAATCAGGGTCTGGGATTCAAGTTTGCTTGAAGATTATACTTAATATTACAATCAAAGTTACCTTTACTCATTCATCACTGTGCTTCTTGAACTTTAATGACTCTCACAGACTTGGCATTTTGTTCCTTTGAGATGAATTTCACCTGGACGTGAGTCCGCTGTATTGGGTGAAGGCCTGGTTACTGTTAGTGGTTAGCACACTTCCGAGTCCAGATATTCTGATTAGACAGTTTCTTTGGAATCAGAAGGTAGAATTTTGTTTTTCCTGGCTTTGTACTTTAGGGGCCATTCAGAGTTTTCAATGTTTTAAAATTTCGATCTTTTTTTCCAAATTGTGGGTGGCTGGGTCAAGCTAAATAATTGAAAATCGAAATTCACTTTCCATGGAAAAAGATAAAAAAAAGAAAGGAAAGATAGATCTTTTGACTTGCCTGAACTACGCGCAAGCGTTCCGATATCGCGATGCGTGTTTCTTTTCCAACTTGTCCCCTGTATGTACTGTACATGTACGTCATGTACGTGTATATAGACCCACTGTGGCATGAGAGGGAGGTGGTTTTTCAGTAGACTTGGACGCCGAGCGTTTGTAGCGGTTAGGCCGTGCAGAGGCAGCAGGGTACCAGGTGTACTAGATCGGCTCTATAACACGCCGCGGGTGTCGATTGCCAATCGCTATAAAAACTGGACTATTCAACCACTGGACTCCAAGACTACGAGGACTGCAGCCTGTGATGTGATGCCCATTTTTTTTTCGCTCATATCCCCCCCCCCCCGCCCTGCAAACAGGGTGGGGGGGGGGGGGGGTACGAGCGAATGTTTTTTTTCAGCTACCCCACGTGACAGGCACAACCTCGTATGTCACATGTCATCCACCTCATCCAAAAAAACGACAAAACCACGGTCATCTTTGTGGCTTCCAAAACTGCAACCTGTCATTCCCAACAGCATATCAGCTGGCAAAACACAAGAAAACTGAAGGTCACCAGTGCAAAAGAGGAAGACCGATAACTTCACGCCGTCACTGAACTAGACACACATGTACAGGGGTATACATGTTCATGTTCAAGTATATGTACATGCAAGTGCATGTGTACATGTACATGTTCAGTTTTTTATTAATCGAAATTAGGGGTGGGTGGGTGGGTCAAAATAATTTGGAAAAAAAAGTCGAAATTTTAAAACATTGAAAATTCTGAATGGCCCCTTATACATAAAAATCTAGATAAATTTTAGTAACTTAAGAAACAGAATAGTAAGTTGTGTTGGTGTATTTCTTATGTAAAGTCTATAAATTGACTCATTTGTAACCTACCAACTGTACAAAAATAGTCATAAAGTTGTAAATTTTGAAGACCCCAACTGATTTTTAGTAGATTCTGATAGAGGAAGACATGCTCTAGCAAGTTATTTTTATTTCGTTGATTTTCGGAATGATACATTATTACAAAAATTGGGGCAAAGGTCACGATAGCATATTAAAGGTCACGTGACCTACTTTTCACAAAATTTAATTTTGACAAATGAAGTGATTTGAGCATGCAATCCTCATTATTTTAATACCAAATTCACACATATTCGATGCAAATTGCCATAGTTTTGACATATTTATACCAAAAGGGTGGTATTTTACTCTAAAAATGCAATTTTTTTGTGGCTTCTGCCCTGACCCCATGGTAGGTCGGATCGGGCTAAATATTGGTGTGTATTCATTAGGACCTACAAGCACAGCAATTTTTATTAAAATCAGAAGACATGAGGTAAAAAAGTGCGTTGGTCTGACATGGAATGACCCAATGACAAAAAGGTTATGGTGAAAGTACATTTATGTAACAAGGGTGTGAGTGATCACATACAAAAAAAGGCCGAAAACAGGGTTCGAATCCCACCTGAGTGATTTTTTCCCAATTTTCACTCGGGGAGGTAAAACACTGAGTATACAGTGTTTAAACGTTGGTGAAGGGCAAAACCTAATTTGATTTATATCACCCCGACGCAAAATTCCATCTAATAATAGTTAGCAGGTTAGGCACCGAATTAAGTAGACCCGTGAACGTGGCTATATACATAGCCGCGCTTCAGTCTATAGGAAAAATACTCTATTGTGATCCGCGGTTACTAAAATGGAGTGACCGTTCTAGCTGAATTTCGGCTACATTTGACAGAATATTTGCATACAAAAATGAGTTGTACAGAAAATCAGCAGAATATTTTTTTGGCAGAATTATGAAGATGATAGAAAATGAAAAAGATGGCTCATTTGGTTTGAAAAACCTTCATTTTTTGAAAGATCCTTAAAACAAACCCTTGCACAATGGAACAGCAATATAAACTGGGTGATTTTTCAGACTTTCGAAGTGGATTAAGCAGAATTTTACATGGTATTACGGTCATCCTGCCATGTAAGACGATTAGTCGGGTACCCACTGGTGATACTCCTACCGTTTTGCGCATGCGAAACTCAGGGTACCAGAGTGTCATGCCTGTCTTTGATTTTCTGATCATTTTGAAAACATTCGTTGTGACAAAGTTGTGCCGTACTTTACATCAAATTTCTTGGCAATAACATATCCAACACTCGCGGAAATTCACAGGAAGCCCAACAAGTAAGTGATCATCTATGGGCAAAATTATATATGGTTGTATGTAGCGGATCAAAAGATAGAATGCTGTCGCTTGTATTTACCCGACGAAAGCGCGTGGCGTTGTATACAACGCCACGTTCACGGGTCTACGAATTAAGCAGGCTTCACTTACTTGTGAAAGGAGACGTTTTTGGTCTTGTTGCTCCGATTTATCCATAGCATGCACAATTCTAATGCATCATGCCTCCGACTGATCCAGCTGGAATAAGTTGGCTGAAGTCAACTTACATGACTAACGTTTGCAGCTGACTGCCGTGTCTTACATGGTTTTACCGTGCTTTTTTGCCTAACGCTATGTGTTGTGCGCACGTAGTCCGGTTACTTTTTGCCCACTTACAAAATGGCGTCCGGGCGTCCTTGCCAGCACGGGGTCACGTGATAAGTGCGCGCTCTAGTTTTCATAATATAACTCTATGGGCTTGCCACCAAAATGGACTTCATATGACAATCAGGTCCGAAGTTATGATACAAATTAGGTACTACATGGCGGCCATTTTGAAATATCCATGATGGCTGCCATCCATTGGGAGTACCCCGTCAACAACACTTTATTTTGGTTCCTTGGTATCAACAACATAGGGTTTGCCACCAAAATGGACTTCATGTGACAATCAGGTCCGAAGTAATGATACAAATTAGGTCCGAAATGGACGCCTTTTTGAAATCCAAGATGGCCGCCACATGGTAGATGGAAACACATGTTACCAATGGATTTCTGGCTTAGGAAGGTAAACTCTATCCAAATATGACAAAACATGCAAAGGTCAAAAATACGACATAATTTACTATACTATATTCGCAATTCAGAATTCATAAGTTGTAGTGCACACAATTAAACAGAAATAGAAATACGACAGCGACAAAAAAACTCGGATCGACAGATACAATTTTAAAAAATATTTATGTGATGAGATTGAAGCGGAAGAAAGACAAATCACTCACCACCGGTTGTATCCTGCGTTTTCCCAACGGCAATAAGCGCCAACACACCCAGTAGTATCCTCGGCCTAATTGCCATGATGATGGCGATGCAGGTTGCTCCTTACACCCACCGCTAACTCGGTGTCAGATCAACCAAGAAAACCAGGCGTGTGCTGTCAAGTTACTTGTTCGACGGTCTAGTCCTAGCCAGGAGCCTGAGCAGAGTGACTAGTAGTTCCAGAGTACCTGCCGAAGTCAGTGGCTATGTCCCAGAGGGGAGATCAGCAGGCCAGATTGCTACCTACCTAGCTCTCTACGCACCAACGCCCACACCAATCACTCTCTGCCATAAGTACGCAGAAGGGGGGTCCCTCAATAGAACTTTTCAAGCAAGGCGCGCCAGGTGCTATTGTTACGCCTGCACTGAACCGCGGAACTTTCTTTTGTATTTTAGGGCTATATATTTTTGTATTCTTTCAAGATTTTATTCAGACAAGGTTGGTTCAATGTTGTTGTTGTTGTTGTTGTTGTTGTTTTTTTCCTGCCGGTCTTTTGGAGTTAGGGGTTGGCTGATTTGAAGGCTGTCTGCTATGCATATTGATTCCCATATTTCAAATTTTACTGAAGTTGAGGCCGGGGTCATGCAGCTATTTGTACTTTTAAAAGTACAAAATGGCTGCATGACCCTGGCCTCAAAATCAATGTAATTTGAACTATAACATAAAACAAACTTATCTATTCAGAATTCCACAGTTTTTGAACTGAGGCATTACTCATTCGGGTTTTTTTTAACTGCCTAACAGCAGTGATCATCGTTGGAGGGAAAAATCACCTAAAAGTCATAGGTCACCCCCCCCCCAAAAAAAAGATTTCCAAAAAGGTAAAGAGGATTAATTCAGCTTTCATTTGATGTATGTTTTGATCACCTGTGAGGGTACAGAGTATGTTCCCCGATTTTGTTTAAATTGGGGTATTTATCTTTGGTGCCTATGGGAATTTATGTATTGGTGGATTCCCAGCACAACTCCTCACAATAAGCCCAGTGTTAACAATATTTCTCGTTGTGGGTCTGAAAATGAAAATTTTCGGTTTGTGTATTATGAATATGATCAAGTGAAATTATTGATGCAGTATTTCCCTCAAAATTGCATATTGTAATTCTGTACATTTTTATCAATTTGCTAGAATATGTGATACCTCACCAACAAATATCTTTTAACGAAATTCAATCAGAATATTTATCATTTAAAAAAAAAAAAATTGTTGTTGTGTTACTTGTTGGTGTCCCTGCCACACTGTACGATGGTGTAGCCGTGCGTTATGCACGTGGATTGTGTACTTTCGTTTTGACAGGGACTTTACTGAATAGAGTCTGGTGACTGTACATAGAAATTTCTTTAACTAAATTCGAATAGTTCCTTCATGTGCACCTGTTATGCAAAGCAGGGGCAGTGGTTCAAGGATATCTATGTCGACTTGGCACAAAGTGTGCAAGAAAGCTACTCGAATGCTTTTATGTGTTCACAATACAACGACGCTGTTTAGTTATTTCACTGTGTGACACAGTGAGAAATTTTGGGATCATAATGGCGTCAGCGATACTTGCTGGGGAGCTCTTGCGTACGACTTTCTTTAATTTGGTACTGTTGTTTCCAGAACAATTGTGTGTACAGTAACCCGACGTACCCAGATTTTTAAAGACGAAATTGCCGACCTCAAACTTGTAAGCGCCATATTTGGCAACTATATGTGCGTTAATAGTTTAATTAAACAGGGTAATTAAACATAGTACCGTTGAAGGTACCTAAAAGTAAACATAACAGCATAGAAGACCGCAGACGAACATGAAATGTTACAAAATAAACATATTTGTCTGGATAATTTGTTAGGGCGTTATCGGTAAGTTAACACAAACTTGGTGTCAAATAGATCATGGGAGTTACTTTCTTTGACTTTTCATACAAGTTTACATAAACTTTAAATGTATGACCTGCAGTGGCGTAGCCACGGGGGGGGGGGGGCGTGGGGGGCGACAGCCCCCCCCCCCATGAAACCTTGTCGCCCCCCCCCCAGTCGCCTCCCCCACTGAGATTTTGAGTTGGGGGGTGGGCGCTGGGGGGGGGGGGGGGATGTTCCAGTACATACAGGGGACGAAGTTGGAAAGTACATACAGGGGATGAAGTTGGAAAAGAAACACGCATCACGATATCGGAACGCTTGCGTGTAGTTCAGGCAAGTCAAAGGATCTATCTTTCTTTTTTTTAATCTTTTTTTTTCCATGGAAAGTGAATTTCGATTTTCAATTTTGTAGCTTGACCCACCCACAATTTGGAAAAAAAGATCGAAATTTTAAAACATTGAAAAGTCTGAATGGCCCCTTACCCAGATTTTCCCATTCCCAAACAAACTGTGGATCGGGGCACAATTTCTTTTCGATAGGGGACACTACAATCTACAAGTCTGTGAAGTTGTATAAACTAAGGCGAACCAGACCGCGTGGCGAGCGTAAAATAGGTCTCGTCCCACGGACTATAACATTACTGATCATGATCTGCAAATCAGCTAGTGAAAAAGAGCCAGAGTACACTAAAGGCATTACATATTAATTTTTTTTTTTGTAAGTATATGTCCTATGTTAATGTATGTCTTGAACACAGAGATGCTACCAACATGTCAAGTAATCAGTAAGTACTTAACAAGTTGAGTACACGTTGCGGCATGCAGCGCCCGTCCCAACAGCGCAGCAACATGGTGGCGAGAACCAGTGGACCAGCGTACACGGGGTGCTCACACAAAAGCTTGGCGCAGGCAAGGCACAGTACCTGGGCTCAATCCGAGCAGGTCCCTTCATCCAGTGAACAAAAGCCACCCTGGGACTGGAACGTTCAAATAATGGGTCCCGGAAAACACAGGCAACCAGAGGCTGTTGAGAGTTATTGTGAACACACAATAACATCAAGTAGAGGGAAATTCCCCTTAGAAATCCTGGACTATAGTTGCCTGTAAACTTTTGGTCACAGTTCATGAAGAAAATTATGCTTGACGTAGTATTTAAAGCCCGGCGCACACGTGTTTTTTTTTCCACTGCTGCAGTTAGAGCGATACGTTACCCACACACAATGCCCGATTCCGTCTTATAATTGGTCACATGCATGATCATTCACAGGATGACCAGTCACAATGATGACAACCATGTGACTTCCTTCGTGCATCTGATTGGTTAACATAAGTATCGCGTCCGGTGAAATCGGATCCGGTAAAAGACGGATGCGAAAACAATTAAATACCTTGAATTTCATCTGTTCGCCCGGTTTAAGGTCAGATCAGTTCGAATTTTCAGCGTACACCTCTGTACGATGGCCAGATGATCGGGTGAACCGGTAAAATCGGAAAGGTGCGCGCCGGGCTTATTAGGAACGACTCAACGTCTAAGACGCGTCGAAAGATGCAGCTGCTTATCGCAGTTATTTGAACTCTTTAGTGATTTCAGACATTACTCTAGTCGTGGTATGAGTCGAACCAAATGTAAATTTACGTATAATGCGGGTAGTAGTCGAGTCACAAGTTCGGTTACTCACAAGGAAATCACAATTCGATTCACCAGTTCGTTCACAAATGCCGGATGAAGAACAACAAACTACATGTACGTACCCCTTTGGCACAGATTGATCATTTGAAAGCTTTTGAAATGACGTGTAGCAGGATGAATTGTAACAGGGATGTGCTAGACTTGTGAGAACTTGTGAACTTGTGATGACTTTTGATGGACTGCTGATGGCTTAAATGATCGACATCACACACTGGACTCATCACACTCGAGAAAGGATGCCTATGCTAACATACAGTCGACTCTTTCTTATGATAAACAGTGCTCCTCAGTACTCAGTGACTTACTTTTGGACCGACCATTTTTCCCCCTTCAACTCCAGCATGCCAGTCAAATCCGGGTTCATTCGGGGTTCATTGGCATCACAAAGGTTCGGATTTCATTGTATGAGCATGTTTGCTTGCAATAACGGGCTGTTGTAGCTTGATAATAGGCATGCCAAGCCTAAGCACAAAGAATAACCTTTGAATTTGGGTGGTTGGTATGTGTATAATCATGCACTATCACAACATCTGTTTTCACCAGTCGTGCTTCTACTGGTGGCTTTAATATCACGTTACTAAAGCGCCCCTAATTGCTCAAAATGGGCTATTGCGCCCCTAATTGTACTGACAGATCGATTAGGGCACTATTTATTGCCCTATAATAACCCTAAAATAAGGCAGTGCATATTTGACTGGTACTGAACATGCGCAGTGGGTGTGTTTTTGGAACTCTACTAGGCCACGCATTCGCTCGCTGCGGATTGGCAAATTGGTACCTTAGGCCAAAAAAAAGTCTCCGGTTTCTGGTATGCGCGCGCGTCGCCGTAGCCATGCGCGTCGGCAAAATGAAAAAGTGTTTTTTTGCAATGAAAGATGATGTCTTAAAACCGCCAAACTCACTGGTTTGACTGGAATCCTGCTGCTGCACAATTTTAAAGTGTTTTTAGATGGGGTTATGATCGAGAATAAGCTTTATGCGGCCTCTCTGGACTCCCATATATTTGCACTAAGTTTAGTCGAGCACCATTTGCAGTCATCAGCCGACATTTGAAGCCAAAAAGTCAAGTAAAAAAAAAAAAAGCCGCGTCGCCGCACCACTTTTTGGGCAAGCTCCATACCAGAAACCGGATACTTTTTTTGTTTTGGCCTGATATGGCACAGGCCTACTTTTATACCCGTGCATGAGGGCGCTATACGATCTGCTGGCTTAATTAAGAAAAAAAAATGCGGGACTGGTTCATGGTTATTTAAACACTTTTTCAAAAAAAAATAGTAGAATGGGTGACCCATTTGTTTTCAAGATGGCTTCAGCAATAAGAGTATAATTTCCCTGGACCAGGGAACCAAATCAACCCTCTGGTATTCAGAAAGAGCAAGACAGTGCAGCATTCGACCCGCTGCAGCTGACCTACGAACTCGATGGGGGCAGGGATCGAGTCACCGAAAGACAGAGATATATCTGTAAAATAACCCTCGGGAGGTTATCAGAATACCTTCAACCAACAGTCAAAATAATCCGGTCATGCCGGTCGAATCAATGCGTAGCCAGCGGCGTAGCCAGCCGCTAGGGGTGAGGGGTGCGGGGGGGGGGGGGGACTGGATGTTTAAGTGGGGTGCCTCATTTGCTGTCACGATACATAACTGGTTAATAGCCAGGGAAAAAATGAACTT